CTGTATCTGCCCTGAGGCCTGCTCTGAGCTGATTGACCTACGGAAACTGAAGTCCAACTGCTTTTACTCTGGGTGTTTGAAACCAGTCAATTATTTTCAAGAATCTTGTTGTAACATTGGTTGGATGCTTCAAAAAAATCATGTAGGTAATGTGAAATGTGGGGATGCACATTCCATCAGCGCCAATGCCTTCTCTGAGCCAATGGCCCTACAGAAGCTGAAATCTGAGCAGTTATACTTTAAAAATCACACAATTAACCTCAATAACAGCATCAGAACATTACTTGGGAGCTTCAGAAAAATAATGTAGATACTTCTATATGTAGGTATGCATACTCCGTCAGCACTGAGACCTCTTCTGAGACAAATTGCACAGTGATTATGCTCTGACCTTTTCAAAAGTACCCTTCGGCCCACCCATGTGGTACCAGTAGGGACCATCTCTGGCCAATCTGTGTGGTACAGGAAATGGTCATGGGGAGCATCCTTTGGCCCACCCATGTGGTACCAGTATGGACCATCTCTGGCTGACCTGTGTGGCACAGGATATGGTCATAGGGAGTAGTGTTGCTACGGTCATGACCGATGTTTTTCATAAAAATGAGATTTACCTATTAAGGAAATTTGTTAAAATCGTGAGAATATTTGACAAGACAGATGACTTAAAAAGCCGAGGGGTTATTTAAAGGCCTCAGTCATTTGGGGGCTTTAGTCTTGAGTTATTAGCAAATGACTGAAACAGTTAAAATTTGCGACCAAAGTTGTGACCGCTCTATAGTGTGGGAAATTCAGGTCCGATTCTTTCGGACCAATATATGACCCCTCGGCCTTCTATGTATCCTATCTCCACAAATATTCCCACGATTTTATCTAATTTTCTTGATACTATAATTCAAATTTTCTGAAAAACATCGGTCATGACCGTGGCAACACTAATAGGGAGCACCCTTTGGCCCACCTGTGTGGTACCAGTATGGACCTTCTCCAGCTGATCTGTGTGGCACGGGAAATGGTCATGGGGAGCATCCTTCAGCCCACCCATGTGGTACCAGTAGGGACCATCTCTGGCCAACCTGTGTGGTGTGGGAAATGGTCATGAGGAGAACCCTTTGGCCTACCCGTATAGTATCAGTATGGACCATCTCCAGCCAACCTGTGTGGCACATGAAATAATCATGGGGAGCATCCTTCAGCCCACCTGTGTGGTACCAGTATGGACCATCTCCGGCCAACCTGTGCGGCACAGGAAATGGTCATAGGGAGCACCCTTCAGCCCACCAGTGTAGTACCAGTAGGGGTCATCTTCAGCCAACCCATATGACAAGGCTACAATATTGATCTTGGCCAAATTCCACTGGCCCATATAGATTGGGCCATTGTCAAATCAGGTGGCCTGTGTGGTATGGGAAATATCACTGAAAGGGCTGAGTTGGGAAGGGGAGGGGATGATGGTCAGGGCGGACTATGATGATGACAATGACAACGAGACTCCCACACCCACACCCATACTTTCCCTCCCCCTCCCTCAGCCTCTACCATCATTGTCCCCTCCCCACCCTCTGTAAGCTTGCTTACCTGAGTTTCTATAATCAGCATAAATACTGTCCGGTAGTCAACAGTACAACTGTTGATTATTCTGCCTTTTGGCATAAATGCATTTGTGGCAGACACTCTTTGCATGCTTACACTCTCCTATGTTAATTTTTATTATGTTATTTAGTTATTTATATTATTATTTATAAGATAGGCCTCATCCATATACAGCCACTATGTACAGTCACATTGGGGTTGCAATTCATATTTGCTAAGGCTCTAACACTAAATAAAAATAGTTTATTTTAAAACTATGGAAAGGTGTGTATTGGTCATAGCTACCATATGACGGTAACAGACATTTGAAATTGTCAATATTCCTGTAGAAGATAACATTTTTGTATTTTTAAAAAGTCCAATTGTACAAAGTGATTCTTTTGCAAATGTGGTCACAAAAGGATTTTGAATCTCAAAATTTTGGCTTGCTGGGAGTCCAGGTAATGACAATAACCAGTTCTCACATCACATGATATTCCTCATTGGGTCACCCAAAAACCCAATTTTTTTCTAGGTCATCAATCACATCTGTTCAACTAATTAGGTTTTTGACAATTCAAATATTGGCTTACCCTAACCCTATAGAATTAGGGTTACATGGCTGTACATAGTAGCTGTGTATGGATGAGGCCTATCTTAGTGTAAATTTAATATATATATATTATTGTCATTAAGCAAACCCATGGGTAATTGATGGGTACAGGTACAGGTACAGCCAAAAGTACCTGTGAGTTACCCATGATGTTCACTAGTCATCATCAGAGGGAGGTAGCATATTGGCAATCTCAATAGGATCTTTCTCAAATATGTAGTTATGAATTGCTGTGAGTGCAGGAAATACCCATGCTTGTATGTCCATGGAATATTCCAGTGGTCTGGTGGAATGATCAATATCTTGAATTGTCATTTGATCACTCCAAACACCCTCTTGATGACATTTTGAACCATAGCATGTTTCAAATTGAATAGTTCTTCTCATGTGGTGGGACTGCAAAATTCAAATAATGAGCAACAGTATAATATAACAGTAGCATCCATACCATAGCTGTGCACAGCCCCATTCAGCAATATGGTATCACAGCCCACAAAATGGAACAAGTAAGGAGAAACAGATTGAGAACCCTGCATCTGCAAGGAAATATTTCCTGTTGGGTATACAGAGATTGTTGAAACAAGCATCATGGAACATCTGGGCATCCACTATGGACCCTTCCCAGCCACTCTGGATATGAAGAAATTGCATATTAAGTCACATATAGCAAGGGCATTGGTTGTGAGGGTGCCATTGTGATCATGCAGGGCATCTCAATCAGTGGCAGTGGTGAGAGCATTAAAATGGGAGCCATTGATGGCTCTGAGCACATCTTGGCAGAATGGGAGAATTTGAGAATGTGATCAGAGTAGAATGGAGGGGATGAAAAGATCACAAGCATCTTTACAGAATACCTGTCAAATATGTAGTTATTAACTGATGCTTAGCAAAGATCTGCAATACCTACCATGATGTAGTTTCTGTTGCATGCTGGAATTGCTCATTAACATGTCAAATAGAGAGCCCCGTGATGCATGTATACAGAAATATAGCCAATTGTTCTTCAAGTGTCACATGTTTGGAATTTTGGTGCCCGTACCATTGTAGGTCATTGCAAAGGCTGAGGAGCATGTGCTTGTGAACCCCAAGCTCATTGCAGGTTTGTTCTGGATGACCATTAATTAATTCTAAAACCCACATCTCCCCTGTAAGAGCAGATGTATGGTAAGAAATCTTCTCAATACAAGGTCCTTGCATATGAGAAAGCAAGCACCATGATAAGACTTAGAAAAACTGTTACAATGTCCATCAGTTGGTATTCCATGTCTGCAGAGTCAGAGGAAGTATCAGAAGCATCACTGGAAAAGTCTGTGTGCCAATATTCATGAAGGATCTTGTCATGATCAGCTATGATCAAGAGATGATGATTGATTTCTCATTTCGGGAGTGTGACAGATTTATATATTCATGGTCATATCAATCTTACAGCTTTCAGGCCTTTTCCATTAGAAAAAAAACATCCACCACCAGTTGAGCTCTAATGACATGTCCTTAAATAAGGCCCTGCAGTACTCCTTTTGATGTAGCACAGAATTGCCTCAATCAGGTAATAGTTGGGTCATAACAGGTTGTTGATACAGACTCCACTTTTCATATTCAAGTTTTTTATTTGTTTTGTTTTCAAGTTTGAAAATTTCCTTGTTGAGTGTTTGTGTTTTCAGTTTGTGTTTCAAATTTCTTTTTGTAAGAAAACATTTTCATTTTGGCATCCATGAGATTTCAATTGTGTCCAGTGGCATCCCTCATAATCTTAGGTACACATAATTCCACAATTAATATATGTGGTCAAAAGAAATTTAATGCAAACAGAACCCAAATAATTGAGGGTGAGCCCAAGAGATAACTGATGTCTGTTCATTGAATGCCCCTTGATTATAAAGGAAGAAAAGATTAAAAATGGTTTGGATTGAACCAAGTGCACCATATTCATAATCTAGGTCAGATTACAACCATTTGCAGTAATAATGGTACTGGCATTAAGTTTTGATGAATAAGGAAATCTTTGGACTTGAAAATCTTTCGTCAACTTAAGCTCATTGCCTGGCCTCCATAATGTGAAAACTCAGTTTGCAATGCATAGAAATGTTTTTATGTATCTTGAAAATCCATCTATAATTTAAAAACACATAGAGCAACCAGAAACACATAATATTGAGAGATAACTCATTATTTTTATACACAGCTGTTTAAATGAGCATATTTTCAAATAACCTAGGCCTTAGCTAATACACAGGCTACTAGCCAGTCCCTGAAGACAAACTGAATATTTCAGCCCACTAACTGAAGCAAATTCCACATGCCAGGTATGTCAAAGTTAAACACTCTACACCACTCAGACTTCAACCACAGGCCTGCATAATTGCAAGGGATAGCAAGCTATTCATGTTTGTAAAGCTTTATAGTTGCTAATTTGATATGCTCAAGTCCTGTGAGTTAGCAATGTGATTATAGTTATAAATACACAGCCATAAACAAGCTGTTTTTGGGAACTTATGTGTTTTTAGATCATAGATGGATTGTCAGGATACACAAAAACATCTATGATTGGAAACTGAATTTTCACATTGTGGAGACAGCAGAGACTAGACAATGAGTTCAAATGGACAAAAAAATTCTTAAGTCTAAAGATTTCCTTATTCATCAAAACACCATGCCAGTGCCATTATTACTGTGAATAGCTTTAGCACAATATGAAACTGCTGTTGCTTGGGCAATTGACACCAGATGTAAATGCAACACACTTGAATTTTTGTGGACACTAACTAGTATAAAAAGGAAAATCAGCATGATAAATGGAGTTGAAATTATTCAAAACATATGAACCCGACCCGGATTGAACGGATGACCTTATGGAAGCCGAGACTGGAATCATACGCGCTACCACTGCGCCACGGGTTCGTCATTATTTCTGGCTTGAGTACTACTATGCCGTCCACGATTGAATTAGAAGGACATTTATTTCCGTGCAAGGTAACTGCGTGACAACTACAAGCTCATATGCTAATAGGTTTCTTTCAGATTTTCTCTAGCTGTTCCACGGTAATTAATGGGTACATAGCGAGCGGCGGAGACAGAACGTGTGCTACAAAACAAGTAAAGATGAGCATTTGACAAATTGACAATGAACAAGCGAAACGCGTAGACTGATGCAAAAAACAATGATGTGCACGGCTGTACCTGGCTGTACTACTTATTCCAAGTATGACCACTTCCATCATTGTCGTAATATGTTCCATCCGTAGGAGCACGAGAGTTGTAGTATGAGTGCCCCGGGGGTGGCTGGCCCATTGGTGGCCGTCCATACTGAGGTTGTGCGACAGGAGCACTTAACTCTACTAATAGATCACGCGGCATCTGGAGAGGCGATAACAGTTCCGAGCGTGATTCTGAGGAATGGTACGGAGCCAGTGGTTCCGAAACTTCTGGCAGAAGTTCTCGTTGCAGATGAAGGGGCATTAATTCTCTTTGATGCCTCGACTGCAGATTCTGCTGTTGGAGAGGCGACGGAGGTGCCGAACTAGAGCTTGACGAATAGCCGGTGGTTAACGGCTCTGACACCGTTTGCTGCTGTTTTCGCTGTTGCGCACGGCTGGCGACAAGGGGCAGCACGGGCGATGGCGTTTTGCGCAAAGGGTAAGGCGAAACCGCTTCCGCACGGCGAGGTGTGGAACGGATCCGCCTTTCACCAACGCGGTGGCCTTGATCCCTCAACTGAGGATCGATATTGGCCTCGTCGATAGAGGATGTAGTAGTTAGGCTGTATGTCGAAGATGATGCAGTTCGAGGGGAAACTTCACCACGAGGTGGTGCTGCGCTTACGCCAGCCGCCCGCTGTTCAACCGTCCGCTGTTGAGCCATCTGTTGGTGCGCTGCCTCTCGTTGTTGCGCACGCGACTTTCGTATCCGAGGTCGTTTATAGCCTTCGCCTTGACTCAGATCCAGGCGCCAGTAGCTCCCTTTGCCTGGCTCAGTAATCGGACGAGGTATGTTGACGAAAACCTTATTCAGAGAAAGGTTATGACGGATGGAATTCTGAAGTGAATGACGAAAGATATGAATAAAACACATTATACATGTTCAATTTGAGACATACCTTCCAGGCCATTTCGCCCGAGTTGTCCTTGAACCATTCAAAGCGGTCCATTAATGCTTTATAGATCTCCTGCAACGTTAACTTCTTATTCGAACTACCGAAGATTGCCAATTTAATTAATTCAGGGTACGGCTGGCTGGGTTTCCCTCTATTTGGGGGATCCTTCAGAGCCCATAAATTGACAGGTTTATCGCGCGGAAGACTCATTTGGTGCCGAAGATACTGTTCGGCTTCGTTAGATGGTGGGGGGTGTATGGACGGCCAAGGAAGATGTCTTAGGCCCACTGCGGGAGTCGATGATGTCGAAGAGCTGGCGATGCTATACAGAGTGGGGGATTCGTGCGAGCCTGGGCTAGAACCTTGACTAGATACCCCCGGTATGTCAGCATCAGCGTCGAGCACCTCTGGGGCCAGCACACCCTGGTAACCATCCTCGCTCATGCGATAATAATGCTGAGGACGAGGGCCTGGAGCTGCAGGCCTATATTCGATATTCAAGCTAGGACCATGGTCGTCTTGACGTCGATACAGCTGAGGGTGTGTAGACGGGCGCTGCGTTGTGTGGGGGTCATAATGACCATCACTCGACCCGCTTTGAGCACTGTGGCCACTGCTGTAACCACTGTATGGACTTAAGGACGCGCTTTGATCACTGTGCACCGATTCAGTTGGGCTCGCCTGTAAAAAGCATTAGAATCCGAAACTAACAACCAGAGCACTGTCACGCACCGTATACCCATGCTCCTCTCTCTCTGCCGTACTCGTGGGGCGCGGTTGCGAAGTTGTGGAAAGAAAAGTTGAATTAACCCCGGTGGCAGGATTGTCAGACTGCGCCGGGACGCGAGAGCACTGGTCCGGAAATGGATAATTGGAAAACGATTGATCGTGCTCAACGTCAGCGCCAGAATTTACGGGGATGCGCGCCGTTTGAGCCGTACGATCTCCGCCATGGCTGCTGGCAGGCGAGCCAGGCTCGGAATCGCCGGAGGTCTGATCCCGTGAATGAGGGATGTTGTATAGATTTAATTGGTTAACGTTCGCGTTAAGGTAATCGATATAGTTGTGTATGCCGATTGGGAAATTACTGCGTGGTGGCATAACTTTGTATCCGTAAAAGTGCGTTGCGGACCCACACGGCCAAACACAACCATCGTGAGCCACGTGAATCAGTTCAAAGAGACAGGAAAATGGGCGAATATCAAGGGTTACAGGGATTACATACAAGCGGATATAACAGTCAGCAACCCAAGGTATCCAATGCCCAACAAAGCAAGACGTACCTGGAACCCAAGGGTATATGACTGGATATGCCAGCGTGATTGCAAGTTGTCTATGCGTCAATTAGAAAGCAAGCAAGAGGCCAGAAAAATTTAGACAGGGATTGTAGATCTTCGCAGAGACACCAAGGTGGGTTTGTGAAGTACGTAGGCGTTGGAAGGCCCCCCGCCCTTTTATTCCGTCAATGTGGGCGTGACATGGGGCGCCTCGCCACTAGCAAAATTACCAGAAAAGGCGAAAAGCACTGGATTGCTCAACTTCGTCGCACGCAATCGACGGTTGTGATTGCTTCGGACAAGCTCTGTGGCTGTGGTGCACGAAGCGCCTGCACTGTTTGGTAGCTGGAAGCGCCATCAGCTCGATGTAAAAGGAAAAATCTGTGCGTATGTACCACATTGCCTTTCGTAGTATTTGTTGGCGATTGCGTCGGACAAGTGTGAGGAGAATTACTGTTTTTAGGGTTTTGTTAGGCTCCCCTCTTCCAGAACATGCGCCTTCACATATCGGGCGTGTTCTGGCATTTCTACAATGTGCCATCGTATAACAATATCGTTGCTCCCGAGTGCTTGACTGCCAAGGCACTACTTGACCGGTGACTGGGCTTGTTGCACTTGCCTTGACGTACACCCGGCCGCGCAGTGGTTCCCTATCTACGTTAAGCAAAGCAGTCACATATCTGCGATGCCAGAGACGCGAGCAGCTCAGGATGAGAGCAGAGTCGCGAATTTCCTTTTCGGGCGATTAAGCGCCCTTATATCTCATTTCGAAATCGGTGAGGCTACAGTCAATTATAATTAACACCTCAGACTGACAAAATGCGCGGTCTCGTCTGCCAAAATTCGTCCCCAATGATATCGCCATGGAAAAGGTCTATTCGTGTTCGGAATTTGTCTTTCTGCTTGTCCTTTTTCGTGGTATTCCTTGAAGGAATGCCTTGGGAATGCTCAATCGTAGCCTCATCGGAATTAGACGGTTCCAACTCGGCGGGGTCATGCACCGGCTCTCGCGCAAGATTGGTTTCGGGAGATATCTAACGTTTGATATCAGCAAGCGAACCACATTATTCGCAGCATTTGATGTAACCTCCTCACGAACAATCACGCTTCCTTTCCTGAAGCGCGCCGATATCTCGTTGTAATTTATCTGGAAACGAGAGAATAATAGCTCGTGCTTTGTACTCGAGTTTGTTCCCTGTATGGATTTTTGTAAGGGTCAAGAACTAAGGATGACGTCTAAGTCTATATCCACGAACCCGTAATGTAGCGTGTGCCTGTGTCGTGGTTTCACCACCCTGTTGCACAAGTGCCCAGAATGCGGTGTTATAGAGGTTATTTATATGTGCTATATGCTAAATATTAGCGAAGCGAAACTGAATTATGACACACAAATAAGACAACATACTGTCTGCTTGACGCCATGAGAGGTAATCGCGAACCTCGCGTTCAGTGGGATAAAGAACGATCCGGCCATCAAATGATGGAGGGTATCTCAATGGCGAATCGGGGAAATATGATTGCCAGTGAAAGACATAGCACGAGGTGAATAAAGACGTCACAGTTGTGACGATCTTGGTATGGCGGCGATTGTATAGTGACGTGGATTTTTGAAACACGAAGCTGGGTAACAATAATGTAAGGACTACCGTCACTAAACTTGTGCACCCATACCTAAATTCGTCGGACTCGCCAAAAGCTAAGACGATGTCCTTGTATTCGGTCATGACATCTTGGGCAGCATGATCCATGAGCTTGAGAGCACGCTCGTCGTTGGGCTTCGCAAACCCATGTTCGTCAGAAAATCTGTATCAAGTTTATCTGATGGCCCGTGAGATTGCAACTTGACCAACCGATGAAACGCATGCCCATCGAGACGTAAGATCATGAATGTACCCGGCAGAAGGGGGTCAGGCAGTTCAAAATTCCTGACATAGGCAAACTTTGAACCCGCCATATCATAAAGAATAAATAAGGAGTGCCGCCTACTGCGGCCTAGCGGAACGGTGCAATGGTAAAAATGGGTAACGCCGCAATTGGCGGCCCTTATATGGTCCGAGCGCCTTAATTGTGACTCTACAGCCTCGTGCACCACCGCCCCTCAGCCCTTAACAATCATCAGCGCCAACGAACTTCTTGTAACAGCTCCAACGACGATCCCAAGGGAAAATGAGCAATAAACTAATGACAACGGTTAACCCGTCTTATGCTAACTACTTCCGGCGACGCACCATCGGTCGGGCTGCGTCGCCGCCAACGTTTGCTTGCTATGAGCAACGAGGCAATCCGTACGACAACGACGATGACTACAGCGACGATGGATCTGAGGATAACGTTTCTTGCTCTGAGGATGGAGAGGACTACGGACGCCATGAGAGCGATTCAGAACCCGAAGACCATGTTGTGATCCCGCCCAGCGAGAAACAGCCTGATAACGCAGCCACGGACGATTTGGATATGGAGATTGATGAGGGTGACGGTGAAGCTGCTGAGAAGAAGGCTGCAGCACATAAAAAGGACGTAAAGGGAAAGCA